TTCAGTTTGGGGATATCTAGTTAACCATTTGGGGATATCAGTTTGGGGATATCAGTTTGGGGATATCTAGTTAACCATTGTCCAGCAAGGCTGTATACTGTCACCCTGCCTATTTAACTTATATGCAGAGCACATCATGAGAAAGGCAGGGCTAGATGAATCAAAAGTTGGAATTAAGATTGCCAGGAGAAATATCAACAACCTAAGATATGCAGATGATACCACCCTAATGGCAGAAAGTGAAGAGGAACTAAAGAGCCTCTTGATGCGGGTGAAGAAGGAGAGTGCAAAAGTTGGCTTGAAACTCAACATTAAGAAAACCAAAATCATGGCATCCGGCCCTCTCAATTCCTGGCAAATAGATGGGGAAGAAATGGAGGTAGTGACAGATTTTATTTTTCTGGGCTCAAAGATCACCTCAGATGGGGACTGCAGCCAAGAAATTAAAAGACGCTTGCTCCTGGGGAGGAAAGCTATGGCAAATCTAGACAGCATACTAAAAAGCAGAGACATCACCCTGCCAACAAAAGTGCGTATAGTCCAGGCCATGGTTTTCCCAGTTGCAATGTATGGCTGTGAAAGTTGGACCATAAGAAAGGCTGAGCACCAAAGAATTGAGGCCTTTGAACTATGGTGCTGGAGAAGACTCCTGTGAGTCCCTTGGACTGCAAGGCGTTCAAACCGGTCATCCTAGAAGAGATCAACCCTGACTTCTCTTTAGAAGGCCAGATCCTGAAGTTGAAACTCAAGTACTTTGGCCATCTAATGAGAAGGAAGGATTCACTGGAGAAGGGCCTAATGCTGGGAAAGATTGAGGGCAATAGAAGAACGGGACGACAGAGAATGAGATGGCTGGATGGAGTCACTGAAGCAGTAGGTGTGAATTTAAATGGACTCCAGAAGATGGTAGAGGACAGGAAGACCTGGAGGAATGTTGTCCATGGGGTCGCGATGGGTCGGACACGACTTCACAATTAACAACAACAACAGTTAACCATTGTTAGATATCTCTGTATGATGTAGCCATTTTTCTTATCTCCAAGCCAACTGACATTAGAAAAAATTCATCCAATGTCTTCTCCTAACACAAGTCTCACTATATGCACAATTTGTGCTGCTTTCAAAACTGCTCATCATCTCTTGGTTATTTCTGACTGCTGTGTACCTATCTTTCCAATCACCACCACCTTGCTTCCATGATTATTTTGATTGGTCATGTTGGACTACCTTAATACCAGGTGAGGGCAGCATCATCAATATTGTGATAATCAGTTCTTCTCTTAGAGAAGTCATGACCAACCATTTTCTCCAGCTGTATATAGAAGTGCTGTAGCATTAGCAACACTGAGATTTCTAGAGAAAGGAGTAGATAAGGATTTCTGAAAAGCTAGCTGTAAAAGTTCTGATGGATGACTGAATCGTTTGCTTAAGCCATAATTGAAAATTGCCTTTTCCAATAGCCACAGCCTATGTAAGGAGCAGTTTTTCCTGTCCACTGAAATACACCAGACACTGCATCTTCATTTCTTCCACAATATTTGTTAGCCTTACAAGTCATCTTGTTAGTGATCGGCTGTATAGATGGAACAGGCATGATTTATGCTGCCGTGCATACTGAAGAGAATGATGTTAAACTGACTGTATGAATTGCCTTTTGGCAATTGAAGGAATTGTTAAATATTCACACTACATTTAATTAACAATACTCTGGGGAAAATAGCTTTGTGGCCTTTTGTTGAATGTTTTAGTTTGCATGGGGGAAACTAAATTTTTATAATCACAAGTGCTTAATATTTTATCAGCAACATATTGTCTGGGTTTCAACATTTAACTTACTAATTCATGTTAAATTTCTTTCTCTCTACCTCGTTTTTCTAGCCATTGATAAAAGGTGTCCCATTTCTAAAACAGAGGTCCCCAACCTTTTGAGCACCAGGGACCAGTTCTGTGGAGAGAGGTTTTTCCATGGACTGGAGGGGGTATGGTTTTGTGTACTGCCTGCATCTCGCAGATGGGGCTTTGCTTGTTGTGCGGCCCAGTTGCTGGCATGCCAGAGCCCGGTACTAGTCCATGGACTGGGGGTTGGGACCCCTGTTCTAAAATATACTGATTTTTCTTTCTCTTTCATTTTCAATGTCAATCGATCCATTTTTGCACAATCTAATTTTTTTTAATTAACTCTTCCTCCATTGGTAAATCTTCATTTTAATAATGTTGAGCCAATACAATTCTTGCTGCAGTTAATACATGTAAAATTAGATGTATATACTCTTTCTCATAATTTCCTGCAACTATACCTAACAAAAATAGTTCTGGCTTAAAATCGATGTTTTTTAGTGATTTTCTCTAACCATATGTGTATTCTTAACCAGAATTTTTGGCCTTGGGGCATGTCCTCCAAAGATGGTAATAAGTGCCTGGTTTTTGTCTACATTTCCAACAATTGCTTAATATATTTTTAAACATTTTTGCTAACCTCACCAGTGATAATTGCTATCTTAAAACATTTTGTATAGATTTTCATTGTACACCACCGCTTTTGTTATTTTAGAATTTCTTTCCCAAAGGCTTTGCCAGTTTTCTACTTCTATGTTATGTCCAAAATTATTTGCCCATATTATCATTGTTTCTTTAAATTGTTCCTTTTCCATCTTTAAACTTAACATATATTTATAAAGTTTCTTAATCAATTTTTCATCTGATATTAGTAGTATCTTATCAAATTCTGTCTGTTCTTATAAAATCCAAAATCCTATACCATTTCAGACAAATGGTTGTCCAATCTCTTCTTAAAAACTTCCAGCATTGGAGCATTCACAACTTCTGGAGGCAAGTTGTTCCACTAGTTAATTGTTCTGTCAGGAAATTTCTTCTTAGTTCTAGGTTGCTTCTCTCCTTGATTAGTTTTCATCCATTGCTTCTTGTTCTGCCCTCAGGTGCTTTGGAGAATAGCTTGACTCCCTCTTCTTTGTGGCAACCCCTGAGATATTGGAACACTACTATCATGTCACCCCTATCATTATTTTCATTAAACTAGACATGCTCAATTTCAGCAACCATTCTTTATACATTTTAGCCTCCAGTCCCCTAATCATTTTTGTTGCTTTTCTCTACAATTTTTCTAGAGTGTGAACATCTTTTTATATTGTGGCAACCAAAACTGAATGCAATATTCCAAGTGTGGCCTTACCAAGGCATTATAAAGAGGTATTAACACTTCACATGATCTTGAGTCTATCCCTCTGTTAATGTAGCCTAGGACTGTGTTGGCTTTTTTGGCAGCTGCAGCACACTGCTGGCTCATATTTAAGTAATTATCCACTGGGACTCCAAGATTGCTCTCATAGTAATACTATTATGTTATTCTGCAACTATATCACTATTCCATCAATCAAATGGGAACATAAAGGCTCCGAGGAATAACAACCAAGGACTAGGGAAGTTTATTATTGTTATAATGTACAACGGTCAATTGGAATGGATTTTCCTACCATGATATGATGTTCAGACTGCAAATCAGACATTAGCTCAGTGGGGGCAGGATTGCATTGTATATTCTTATCCTCAAGACATGGTGAGAAAGCTTGAGCAAACTGGTTATTTGTGCCAGCCCACCCTCTCCTCCCTCTTATCCCATAGAGAAAATAAGTAACATGCACACAGATGGTATAAACTTTGTTATTAAGAAACATCTTGCTTTACATGAATATACAGTATGTTTAGTGGTCCACTAGTTTAAGCCCACACAAGCATTACCTCCCAATTTTTTAAATCATGCAATCCCTAGTATTCTGCATAAGAGGTGATTACAACAGTAATCATATAAATTAATGTAATAAATAAATGCATGAAAAAGCACAATAGGGCATCTCCAAGGGAGGCTACAGCAGGCCTCACAAGTTGAGGGTCTTTTTGCAATAAATAGAATGATATCATGAATTAAAACTTTTATTTCAAAGAAATAAAGTTAATTGATTAAAAAATTAATATCGGTTTTAGAGTTCTCTACTCAGTATTGCCATTGACTGATATTAATGGACATAAAACAATGGTGGTACAAGTCTCATTTACATAGAATCCAATGAAAGGAATCTATATTCTACTGTCTTTTCCCTACAATATTAAGTTCTTATTGAACTCTGGTCTCTAACATTTTCCCCAAAAATCCTGCCATCCATCCCTAACATAAGTACTATGATGTTAACCATTCTAGATAAAATATCATTGGTTGTAACATCCAATCATTTTGTTCTAATGTGTATGAGATCAGGGCTACACATTACTTCTTTCATCTCTGTCAAGTCATGATCCTAGAGGTGGACATGGCTAGGATGAAAAAGGTAGGCAGAACTCATTAATTTTGTTGTACAATAGTTCAGTCACTTTATGACTGGATGGATGTCATTTCTCCAGGATTGTCCTCCATTATCTGCTGATCTGAATATTTATAAACTCCTTGAGTCATCAATGATCATATGTGGCTACCCTGGCATCTGTCAACCTCTCCAATCAAATTTGTTCGTTCGTTCGTTCATTCATTCATTCATTCTTTGATTCATTCATTCAGTTTATAGGGCTATTTCAGAATTTTGACACTGGGCAGTTAACAACAATGGAAAATACTATAAAATAATTTAAACAACACATATATCACCAGTAGCAGAAGTAAAAACACAACATTACCATTGCATAGGCTCTGTCATGCATCTGGATCCTGAAACTCATGGACAAAACCCTCTTTTTAAAACATTGTAAAAAGCCAGCAAATCAGGACCAATATAATCCCTAGAGGGTTGATGTCCCAAAGGGCGAACCCCATGGCAGAGAAAGCTTTCTTCCTGGGCTCCACCAGATGGCAATCCTCAATACTATATTTTTTAAAAATAATAATTTTATTAAATGCATTCCATAATATTGTAGAAAATCCTAGTGCATGCATCTCCTACCAAACATAATGGCATGGGTAGGCATAATTGGGGAGAAATATCACTCAAATAAGATAATAAATAAAATAATTTTATTGTTAATACAATTTAATATTATTATGTTAACAGTATCCAACTTTTATTGGATTATTCACTTGTATTTTATTAAATATAAATATTGTAAGAAAAAAATAATTTAAATATCTTCCAAATGATCTCTCCTTTCATTTAAATCAGTGGTTCTCAACCTTTCTAATGCCGTGACCCCATAATACAGTTCCCCATGTTGTGGTGACTCCAAACCACTTATACATCACCGGGTGCCAGGGGCGTGGCCAAAGAAAAGGAGGAAAAAAATGGCGGACAGCCTTGTTTGGCGACCCCCGTGAAATGGTCGTTCGACCCCAAATGGGGTCCCGACCCACAGGTTGAGAACCACTGATTTAAATTCACATATTACATACATTCACTTACTCACTGATATTCATACTAACTTTGGTGTTAACTTCCAGTGTTTGTGTTCAGCATCTGCTTGGTTGCTTTGAAAAACATAGGTTTTAATTATGTTATCTATCTATATCAATTAATTAAGTTTTGAAACACTTTAATTTGATATACCTGTATTTCTAACCACCCAATAACTCTTGGGAGCCGGGGATGAACAAAACTTCTAAAAATATACTATTTAAAATAAAATATAAACTTTAAAAGATACCGATACTAGCATTATATAGATTTTAATATAATACTGTAAATATAACTTGTCCTTAATATATTGTTACTGATTTACCTATACTTTATCTTGTTTGGTGTGGCTTTTACATAAGTGTAGATGAACTCCAGCAGTAGCTGCAGTCTTCCTTGAATTGTTTAAAAGAGGTTTAATGGCTTAATGGCTGGATGACTGGCTGAATGTTGATAGAGTTTCTGGCTATTGATGCTGTAGCTTGCATAAGGCAGGAAGTGCCACAGAGGATGTTGTATCAAGAAGTTGCTAAGACTTAGAAGTTCTGATCTGAGTAAGAATACTTGGTTAACTCAACCACATCAGCCTCTGACATTGTGATGGTTCCATTATTCAGACAATACTAAAGCTTTGGTTGATACCTTTCAATTTTACAGTTCCATTTTTTATAAACTTTCCCATGCCAAGTTAAAACAAGAAAATAATGCTCATATCAAAATATTTATATTTTCTGAGTCCATTCATTTAATGTATTCTTCTCCAAACTGGGAAACATGATTTTGATTTTAACTCAGAGGGCTTTAAACTGGGGAAGATGTTGCTGGTTGGGAATGATGGGAATTGCAATGTAATATATTATGAAAGTGCCATGCTTGCTTTTATCTGATTTAGAAACTCAAAATAAAGCTCATACTTTTCCTCTTTGAGACAGACTATTGATTGTTGTTAGGCCGAAAGAGTGAAGATAAGGCTTTGGTAGATTTCTGAGCTAAGAAACCTGGGATATGAGTCTCTTTCCATATGCAGATAAACAATTTTTTGAGCCTCATCGAAACAACACTGAGTCGGTTCCTGAATCTTCAAGGTAATACCTTCTCTTACTGGACTGTCAATATTAATCTGGAAAAAAAAAGAGAGTACTTTTATTTTACTTTTTAAAGAAGGCAAGAAACTGGACCTAGTAGGTAGTTAAAGAATGTACAAAAAAAAAATGAGCATCAAGAAAGATGTCATAACGTCTCATATCTTAAGAACTTCTTTACTTCAGGTTTGGAAGAAATATTATAGAATTGATTCAAGAATTCCATTATGGGCTATTCCATGGCATGCAATAGAAGGAATAAGGAGAGGAGTTAAGATGGATAGTATTTCTTATACACAATTACTTAAGTGGGATGGTAAAAATTGGCAATTAAAATCTATGGATGAACTAGTACAAGAAAATATTATTTATTCATGGTTTCAGTATAGACAATTATTGGAAAGGTGGAAGATAGATTATAATGTGGGCTTGCTTAGAGGGGATGAGAATTTGTTAAAACAAATTAGAGATCAAAGCCGAACCCATATTAAAAGAATTTATGGTGTGTTAGTGGAATTAGATTCAGAAGCAGAATTAGTTAAAGATTGTATGGTTAAATGGGCTCAAAATTTTGATGAACCAATTTCATTAGATATATGGGAGACTATTTGGGTGAGGAATGTTAAATTTACACAAGCCCAAAATTTACGGGAAAATTTCTATAAAATGTTTTATAGATGGCACCTTGATCCACAAAAAATGTCTCGTATGTATTCAAACTTGCAGCCTAAATGTTGGAGATGTGGTTGCTTGGATGCCACTTATTATCATATCTGGTGGTCATGTAAAAGCATAAAAGCTTTTTGGATTAAGATATGGTGGAATATACAAAGAATTTTCAAAAGAAGGATAAAATTTACTCCACAATTGTTTTTGTTGGGTATTGTCTCTGATTGTGATAACAAAGAAATTATTTTAATGTTAAACTTAATTACAGCGGCAAGGTTGTTAATAGGACAGTACTGGAAGAAGGAATTTTTGCCTACTTTGCAGGAATGGTTTTTAAAAGTTTCTTACTTATCTGAAATGGCAAAAATTTCGGCTTTTTTGAAAGATCAATCGCAAGAGAAGTATCTCTTGGTGTGGAAAAGATGGATAAATTTTATACAATATAGGTATGATATTAGAAAATATTATTTAGCTTTTGAATAATTTCTATTTAAAGTTTAAGATATTATTTAGAAGTGTAGAATAGTTTAGTTTTTCTTTTTTTTTCTTTTTCTTTTATTATTTTTTTATTTTCTTTCTTTTCTTCTTTTTCTCTTTCTGTTTTTTTATATATAATGGAGTTAATGTATTTAACAATTTGTTCATCCAATATAATCATATTTGTTTGTGGTTTATTTGAGTTTATGAGCTTTTTCTACTAAGTTTTAGTTAACTCTGATCTAGCTCTGGGAAGAATGGGGGAGGGTTTTGGGGAGGGTTGGGAGGAATTGGGAAAGGGGTTTTTATTGTAAAATTGTAAAAATTATAATAATAATAAAAAAAGAAAGATGTCATAACAATTATTTATTTATCTGGGTATGGCTACTCAACTTGCAAATAACCAGGATAACTTGCACACAGTTAAAAGCATAAAAACAGAGAAATCAATAGAAAAACACACAAAACACCACAATTCAGAATAACCAAAGCCAAATCAAATGTATTCCAATACAAAATCATATCAGGATGGGCTCAGAATTAAAGGTCAGGCCTACTGCTTTACCGAAAACCAACAAATATATGAGCCAGTGTGGTCTAAGGCAAGGCTTTTCAACTAGTGATACGGGTACCACCTGGGGTACATTGGCACCTGGCAGTGGTACACGACCATCCTAGAAAAGTGGTAGCAGGGGAGGAGAATGAGCTGAACCCGTGGTAGCACCGCACAAGCCTGAGCCAGAGATGGCTGGAGCTGCAGGGCTGTCAGGGTTCAGCGGAAGCGCCAGGATCAGCGCCAGGCTCCAGCTGGAGCTTGGTGCTGATCCTGGTGCTTTGAGCCCAGAAGAAGTGCCGATCAGCTGGAATATTGCAGCATTTCCAGGGTCTTGTGATTTACATTCAGATGCTTGGCAACTGATTCATATTTATGACAGTCACAGTGTCCCAGGGTCATGTGAAGTGACCAAAACCTGCTGCAACTACCCAGCAGACGGGGGGAATAAAAACCAGTCCTCAACAGAAATACTCACAACAATGAAAACTTCGGACAGGAGGAAGAGTGTGGCCGGGCAGGCAGGCAGGTGTCTTGTTCGGCTGTGGCTTGGGGGGCACTTTTTTCAGTGCCATTGTAACTTCGAACAGTCACTAAGTGAACTGTTGTAAGTCGAGGACTACCTGTACTTCATCACTTTTTTCCTTTTTTGGGGGGGGGTCATCAAGTTTTTGACACCTTGCTAGGCAACTGGTGGTACTCAGATGTTGCCATATCCTCAAAGTGGTACAATGGGTAAAAAGGTTAAAAAGCCCTGGTCTAGGGATTATGGCTAAGGTGACACAAATAGGTGTCATGGAAGATCACTGGATGACATGAAGCCAGTTATTCACAGCCCAATTTCCCTCACAGGTTTGTTGTATAAAAAAAAAATAAATTCTTAATGTGGGTACTGTGTATGGTGACTATAACTCCTAAAGGAAACTGGGTATATAACTTTGATAAGTAAGTAGTCTGTTCTATTAAAAAATGTGTGGATATATGAAAATGTAATATGACATGGAGATATGATTGCCATTCTTTTATAATTTTACTTCTGTTATTTTTTTTCCTATAACATGGCCTCTCTGGGAAACCTACTGATGGACTAGTGAGATTCTTAGACTAATCTAACTAGCTTGCTTTATCTTGTCTCATAGTTCAAATAATTCCAGTATTCTAATGAAAGTTGCAAAAGGATCAGGAGGAGAATAAATATTAGACTACTTAAATAAATGTGAAACAACTATAGTATTTAATATACCATTAATTCATTTACTTTTATATCATGTATTTATTTATAAAGGTGGCCTTCGAGAGATATACCCCCTCTCTTCTAGCAGCCTGCTTGTGTAGCTTTAGGTTGAGATTTAATGAGATATTCCACCTCAGTAAAGAAAGAAAATTCTTATTCATTATGCTGTGGGAAGTCAGAGCCCCCCAGAGAAAGAAATATTAAAAGAACAGGAAAATATATTTTTTTCCAAAAGGATTTTTAAAAGCATTTTTTGAAAAGCAGAAACCTGCCCTCAAATCTCTCTGTCCTCAAGCAGGAGCCAGCCCTATACAAATGCAGATGTAAAACCATCAGGAAAGCTGGAGCCAGGGAACTCAAGAAGACAAAGGGACTTAAAATCTGCATACCTCACCCAAACTCTAAGGGAAGCAGGATAGGACCAACCCATTACCATCAAGTATACCAGAGAGGCACACCTAGACTCAGGTCAGAATATGTGACACAGGAAATAGCCTCAAAGTTCAGGCCACAGGAACAGGAAACTATTCCAAACAAAAAGAGAGGGTATAAAAACCTACTGCCCATGTGCTCAGCCCTTCTCTCCCCTGCTCTTTCCTGGAAGAACCATCTTTCTGCTTCTTCAATAAACTGTAACCATCTTCCCAAAACAGTTGCCATGTTGCTTATTTATTCCTGGCTTGGATGAACCAGGATGAAGACTTTACTTCCAACAATACCAAAGCTATTGGTGAGTTTTCAAACTGCAATACCAAGCTGTCCACTTGGAGAAATTATTTAAAATTCTCAACATCCGTGAAAGCATTCACACATTTCTTTGCAAAACAAGAGAAAGTATATTATATTTCTCTCCAATTTATTAATTTACCTCTTTTGGAGCCTGGGGTTGGATATATTCCTTAAAAAGTTTCTGTGCCTCCGATATTCTTTTCCTCTGTGATAAAATCTTCTTATACTTTTCACAAGCCAACCAGAATTCCATATTCTCATCACTATATTCGCTCTTCAGGTAGGACTTGTAGACAATTGGCCCATCTGAAAACAATGTAAATCAAACTTTGATTTGCAAACCATATTAGAAGTAATGATAATGATTGTTAGGTTTATTCTCTGTATGAAACATCCTATGAGGGATCATTTTCCAAGGTTCTGAGATTACAACAGGAAGTGAAAATTATTTCTACAGAAAACTATCTATTTTGTTTTCCCTTCCATTTACCGTAATATGCAATATTCATGGAGATATTTTTCATTTTACTCAGTATTCTCATTCTCAAGGACCTGTGACTCTATAGTTTATAACTTCCAACTAGTCTATCTACAATTATGGTAGTATAGGAGATTTTGGGGTGTTCTAATCCAAATACAGCTTCCCAGATGGCTATAGCAGGACTAGAACTCAGTCTCTCAATCTCTTAGATCAGGAGTGTCAAACCCGCAATGTCACCTGATGTGTCGTGACGTATCACAACTTTTTTCCCATTGCCGGCAATGGGTGGGCGCAGTTTCAGTATGACACCCTTGCCTTAGATCCTATTTGCCTGCCCCCCCCTTCTGTTTAGTAGTGACATCCACCATGGGCATTTTGACTTCATCAGAGGAGAAATTTTAAAAAAAGAAACTGATATATAATATATAATGCGAGTCTGGAAAATCCTAAGGACGTAAGCAAATGAGCCAATGTGCTCAAAAGAAGGTCAAACAGTCTCTTACCCAGGGTAAGAGAAAGAAAAATAAGCAAAAGATTGTGAATGTTATTTCTAAATATAGATCGTATTCTTGAAACATAGCAGTTGCTGAAATCCTTTGTTATTGCTTCTTAAGTTCCTTCAATAAATACTGAAGAAGATCTTGGATGCTTCGTGAGCTTGGCTAAGAGGTTTTGTCCTGGAATGAAGCCTGACACTGCCAATACCTGTCAAGAGCCTCCCCAGCCTCTGTTTTTAGATGAGAATGAGTTAGAGAGCACTAAAGAGTGTGAAAATTAAAAAAAGAAAGAGGCAGAGAGAGATAAATTCAGAGTGAACGGGTGGTAGAATAGGTGATGGTGGATACCTACCAGCACAGACTGAGTGAGAGAGTGAGACAGAATATGACAGAAGAACAAGTAAAAGAGAAATAAGTGAGAGAACATGCCAGTGATAGAGCGAAAGAGGGAGAATGTAAAAGAGTTAATCATGGATAATCTGGGGTGGGGGTGGGGGGGTGGAGGATCCAGTGTTGATCCTTGTGATCAGTGGACATGTGAAGTTTTCTCTGTAAAGCAGAAAAGGCAGAAATCCCCCATTCATTCTGAAAATCAAGTTCCAACAGATGGTTCGACTGCTAGTCTAGTCATTTGATAAAATTCACCTCATCCCACACAATACATTATGGAGAGAAATCGGTAGATGTTTTTCAGCAAATTTGAATTTTGTTGTCTTTGAGAATTATACCATATATGGAAAGATCTAAATTCTGTGAAAAATTAATGCAGGTTTTTTTTTGTTAAACTGGCATTCCTTTTTTGAAAGTTTTCAATTGCTTCTTTTGAACTGGAAGCAATGATATTTGCATCAACAAGATCGTTTTCTATGGGGGACACTTGCATTTTAGACAGATTGGGTATGATAACATATAAGAAACTGAGAAGAGGAATAATGTGTAATGTCCTTGACAGAGCTTCAGTGAAAAATAATTATATTAGGTTGCCATTAATCAGCTTGAAACTCTGACATCCCTTTGACCCACCAGCTGGTAAGTTTCTACTGTATCTTCAGCCAAACCATTGGAAAAAAAAGGCACTTTGGGTCTTCCTCTCCTGCTTTACTGGGATCTTCCTAATCAGATTTGGAAAGATGGCTAAGCTCACCAGTCAGAATTTGCCCAGCCCAACCCATCCCAGCCCAGCCTAACCCACTATCACTTTAGGGACATGTGATTGATGGAAATCAACCAATTGGTGCATTTTCATTTGCCCTATAGTAAACTGTGAGGATAGCATTACTGCCCAACCTTGTTAATGAGGCAGAGTTGACATCATTAAATAGAGGGATACGACTTTTGTTGGCATACTTCATGCTGCCTCATGGACTGGAACACAACCTGTTAAGTTGGCTATTTGAATATGTCCTATGCCATAAATATCCTTTACTTATTCCCATCCCATCTTACTCTACTGATTGATAATGATGTCTTTACTCACATTTAGTAGCCATAAGTTTTTCGAAAGACTGAGACCACTGAAGTACTTCTTCCAAACTTATTCTTTGAGAAGCAAGGACAGGGAGAGAAAACACAAAGTTAGAGCAGCCAATAATCACAGTTTCATAATTAGCTTTAATAAAATCTGAGACTAAGGATATTGAAGATTTATCCTTGTGCTTTGCTGAACATCCCCAAATACTGCCTACATTTGTTTTCTGGTATTTTCAAGCTAGAGAAAAAATAATGCTAGCTTTAATGAATATTTCACATGGCAGAGAATACACCTGTATTTTTAGACAAATTAAATAATCAGTTAAAATAATTACAATAAAATAAAATAATTACAATAGCTGCCTATCAAGAAAGGATAGGCCAGCACATCTGAGTTTCAGAAGTGTGGATAAAAATTAGATGGCAACAAGCAGGTAGAGAAAATTTTAATTGTTTTGCTCCTCAGAGACTGAATCTCTAAGGAAGCAGTTTGTATAACTGTGTTCCTACATGATGGAACCTCCAATTCTAATACTGAGGCAGAATATTATTTGTATTTTCTTTTAGAAGTTGCCTGGAAAATCTTTTTATTCTTAGGGTATTTTGCCTATGTGTAAAATGATTGAATGAATGAATGACATCATCAATAAAAGTAGACATACTTAATAGAAAATAAGTGCCACTGAATTTACTGCAACATTAGGACCTACTTTACTTAAGCCTCCTTTGTTCAGAATTTGAAATATTCATGTTTCAAATCCTCCTATGTAATTTACAATATTTCTTTCTAGTGAAAAATCATACCTACTTTTGAACTATGGTTTTAGTCATTCTTGCTCAACGGGAGCACTTGGAAAAATACCAGTTGGTATATACTGTACTGTACCAAATATGCCAATAAGCAACCCAATCAACTTTAAAAATAGACGCAGAGAGTTGATTGGCACCTGTTCCTAGGCAAGTAGGATCGTGGACATTACATTAGAAATTATATTAGAAAGAAACTACTGAAAGGAAGAGTAGTATAAAAATAACAAAATATAGCACTTGAAATTATAATGTTACATTATGCTACAAAATACTATAGAGTAAACTATTTTCGTAATTATTGAAATGGCTAGAGATCATTATGGATTTCCACTGTTCATAATTGGGAAGTGAAGTAACTGATTTTTTCACATTAAAGAAATAGAATAGAATAGAGCTGGAAGGGACCTTGGAGGTCTTCTAGTCCAGCCCCCTGCTCAAGCAGGAGAGCCTATACCATTTCAATGGAAGAGATTAGCTCTCCTAGACTGCCATGTGCTGGGATACAAAATAGAGGCATTTGTTTTCATCTTCTCCTTTGACCTGTTATCACTACCCAAACACTCACAAAATCAACTTCATTATTTTGAACTTTAGTAGTAATCCATTCTTGATTAAAAGTAAAATTGGCTTCCGATGTTAAGGCCAAATAAAAGATTCATAAACCAGCTCTGTTGTTTGTAGGGTTTTATAAGCTTGGTAGTTTATAATCTCTTTCACTATTTTTATTGGACGACATGAATAGATATGTATGTACATATGTCTGTTTCTGTGTTATGCTAGTAGCACTCCTGGGCCTATAAATCATTAACAATCAAATGAGGCAATCTTTGCTGACGATGTAATCTAGGTTATGTTTGTTTAGCACCCAGACACTGTATTTAAGACCATCAAAAAGGTGTGCAGTTTTTTAATTGTCCAGGATTCATCAGGCAAAACATTAACCAAAGAGAAAAAAGAAGGGAGAAGAGAGTGTAAACTTGTTAGGTCAACTGGTTCAAGTCATGTGGTTTATAGTTCAAAGTCCCAGGGATTCCTATATTTATCATATGACAAAAACACTCCTCCCCACACATGCAAACAATAGATGGCCTTTGTGGTTTACAACTGGTAGGGAAATATTTTTTTTCATTATCCTTAAATTTCCAATCTAAATTATTCTAATAAGAATAGCAAATGTCTACATTTTTAAATCCCACCTTAGACTGACTTTGAATGACTGAGCAGTGTCAGCAGATAAAAAAAGCATGACAGTCATAACTGTACAGTCAAAGCCCTGTTTGTGTGTGTATGTCTGTGTGTAGTAGAGATGGTATCCTATTTGTTCAATGGAACTTCCCTTCCCTATATACCCAGTTTCTCCCCAAATCTATTGTATTCCCAAACACTCTAGAACAAATTAAAGTTGTTGAGTCCTTGGCGAAAAGCAGACACGAGAAGCAGTTGTAGTTCTCAGGTTTTCTTTTATTCTGTGTTCAGCTTACAGGTGAAGGCTTCAGCAATGCCCAAAAGCTCCCAGCCTCTTATATAGGCAATTCCCGGGTCAATGTGTTACTTTTCCCGTGCCAGCACCCGCGCATGCGCGCAGGGGCTGGCAACAGCCTGTCTGGTCCCGGGCAGCTTGCACCTGCCTGGGACTGCCTGCAAACGCCCCGAGCCCGTTTGCAAGGCTCGGGACATAACACCCCTTTCCCCCGGGCTAAGACTACTACCAACATACAATTATTTCTTGATGCAATGTTCTACTCCCCAGTGCTTCTACTGTTTACTGGCTTTTGTTTGGCCAGCAATGTTATGTAATCCTCTAAGTATTTAGGAGATTTCCTTGCTCTCTGTGACCTTCTCAGCTCTGGGTTTCTGACAGGTGTTCCCTGACTGAGGGGAGACGTGAGCCTGTTCTCCTTATCATGCCTTGGTGCCTTCCAAGGACTGTGCCCCAATGCCTGGCCTGCTCGCTCGCCCACCAGGCTCGTCAGGCCAGGGCTTCTACGCACTTTGTGACCTGGTTGACCTGCCTAGCTGTAGGCCCTCGGGCCCCTTGAAGTGATAGCCACCGCTGGGCGTCTCTGTAGAACCTCCTAGGTCCGTTCAAGACCTGTCAGGAGGCTGTCCATTCCCTAAACCCCGTTCTGTGTCCAGGCTCGTGTGGGTTTCTGTACCTTCCCAAAACTCAGTTACTCCCTGATTTGGGCTAGAGGTGTTGCGGTCGGGACTTGGTTCCTCGACCACCTCCCTATATGTTTGACCCCCTGTAGGACTTGGGGTAAGGTCAGGCCAACTCTGGGGATTATGTGCCAGCTCTCTTGCGGGGTATGATTTATTGGGATGCTCCTGGGTATCCTCCCTGACTGGAGTACTGTGCTGTGCAGGTGAATAGTGATTGTACCCCCGGGGTGACTCCCTGGCTGGAGTAGGCGTGAATGCCTGGTAGTTGGATAGGCTCTTAGAATTCCTGTTTGGGGCACTCGCGGAATCTTGGAATGGGCCGTTTGTGGCTCCATCATTGGAGGTGGGCAGCAGCTCGTGCCCCTCCCTTTGCTCTAAAGGGTCCCCCTCCCCCCCTGGAAAAGACCCAGGAGTCTCATCTGAAAGATCCCGCCTAGGGCGGAGTTGGTCGATGTGCCGACGCAGGACACGACCGTTGTCCAGGGCTATCTCATAGGATAGAGGACCTGTGACCCTGGAAATAGAAGCGGGGACCCATGTATGACCAGGCCCGTAATTGCGAGTCCAAACCGGGGCACCCACAAGTAGTTGTCTAGGTGCCCTAGGATGTGAGGTAGATGAAGGCAGTCTGTCCGGATGCAACCAGTCAAGCTTCGTAGTAAGTTTGCGCCCCCAGCGAAGTTCAGCTGGGCTTCTCCCTGTAGAAGTGGACGGTGTGGTCGGTAAGAAAGGAGAAAGTCAGCCAACCTGTGATGCCAGTCCCCATAGGTGAGTCTTTTCAAGGCGTCCTTTGTGATGCGGACCATGCGTTCAGCCATACTGTTGGTGGATGGGTGGAAGGGTGCAGACGTGGCATGACGAATCATGTTAGCCTGTAAGAAAGCTTGGAATTCGGAGGAAGTAAATTGAGGGCCGTTGTCAGACACGATGACATCTGGGAGCCCGTGTGCAGCAAAAATCCCCCTCAGTACCTGAATAGTCTTTGCAGTGGTGGTGGATGAGACAGGTACAACCTCAAGCCATTTTGAATGACTGTCAACGAGGACCAAGAAGAACTGGCCCTGAAAGGGCCCAGCGTAGTCAATGTGCACCCTAGACCATGGGGACTGTGTATCCTCCCATCTATGCACAGGAGCTTGGGGCATCTCTGGGCGAGAGCGCTGGCACAGGTGGCATGCATGCACCTTAGCCTCAATGTCCTTATCTAAACCAGGCCACCACAAGTGGCTGCGCGCAAGGGCCTTCATGCGAACAATGCCAGGATGACCCTCGTGGAGGGACTCTAAGATCCTAGTCCTCATTGAGGTGGGAATGACAACTCTGTTTCCCCAAAGCAGACAACCCTGAGAAGTGGACAACTCGTTCCTTTTGGACCAGAAACTCTGAAACTCAGGACTAGGGCAGTGCTCAGGCCATCCAGACAAAACCCAAGAAAGGACACGTGAAAGTGTGTGATCTGTGCCTGTTTCAGCGGCGACATCCCTGGCATTCAGAGGGGACTCGGGCAAGGCTTGGATGGATAGAATGTTGACAGCTGGCGCAGGGTCAGCTTCTACTACTGGCAGGGGCAATCTACTGAGGCCATCAGCATGGCCCATTTCTTTCCCAGGCTTGTGGAGTAAGGAAAAATCATATGCAGACAGAAAAATAGACCACCTAAGCATTCTAGGGGAAATGATTTGGGGAGTTTGTTTACGTGTGGTAAACAGTCCCAGCAGAGGCTTATGGTCAGTGAAGACCGTGAAATGCCTGCCATACAAGAAATCATGGAATTTTTTAATTCCAGCAACAACAGCCAGAGCCTCCCTGTCTATCTGAGCGTAGTTGCGCTCAGCAGAAGACAGTGTTCTGGAGTAATATGCAACAGGAACCTGAGTTCCATCAGACCTGAGGTGGCTCAGGACAGCTCCTACCCCGTAAGGGGAAGCATCACAAGCGATGCACACAGGAAGGGACTCATTGAAGTGTGCAAGTACACTGTTAGAAGTGAGTAAGGCCTTGACCTCATTGAAACTAGCCTCATGTGTTTGTGACCACTGCCACACTGCTTGTTTGTCTAATAGCCTGTGAAGAGGCTCAGCTACACTAGCTGTATGTGGAAGAAAGGAATTGTAGAAATTCAGGAGGCCCAGAAAGGCCTGAAGTTCGGCCTTAGACTTTGGCCTAGGTGCTTCTAAAATGGCAGTTAGTTTGGATTCAGCAGGGTGAATCCCAGCAGCATCAATTTTGAATCCCAGAAATTCAGTAGAAGGCACCCCAATTTTGCATTTGTCTTTTTTGAGCTTGAGGCCTGTTTTCCTGAACCTTAACAGAACAGCCCTTAGCCTTTCAGCTAGAATGTGTGTGGAGTCTCCTGCAATTAAGACATCATCAAAGTAGGGGCAAACCCCCAGTATGCCCCGTAGTGTGTTTTCCATTACGCTTTGGAAAATCCCAGGAGCGACATTCACTCCAAACTGTAGCCTTTTTACCTTAAAGGCTCCCCTGTGGGTCACAATAGTCTGAGCTATAGCAGCATCATCATCAACAGGCAGCTGTTGATACGCTTGAGCTAGGTCAAGCTTTGCAAAAACGCGCCCCCCCTTGAGGGAGGCCAGAATATGACTGACCACAGGAACAGGATAGGCATGTTGCTGCAATGCCTTATTAAGAGTGCATTTGTAGTCAGCACAAATGCGAATGTCCCCATTTGCCTTTAGAGGCGTGACAATGGGGGTCTCCCAAGGGCTGGAATCAACAGGTTCTAGGATTCCCTGTTGGATCAGTTTGTCTAACTCAGTGTCAATTTTACTCTTTAAAGCAAAAGTGACCCTTCTTGCTTTAATTCTAATGGGAGTGACAGTGGGGTCTAGTTTTAAGATACAGGGCGTCCCTTGAATGTGCCCAGCTGGGGGCTGAAGACATCTGCAAATTCTTTGCAGACTTCCTGTAGGTCGAGTGTTTGTAAGCTGTTGAGCCCCGTGACGTGTATCCCCAAGGCTTCAAACCAATCGAGTCCTATGAGACTCGTTCGTTCACCCCCTACTACTAATAGGTCTAGTGGACCTTCAAAATTCTTATACTGTACGTTAAGGGTGGCCTCCCTCTTAACACACACTCTCGAATTTTGAAAGTCTGTTAACACAATGTCAGAAGGCCTTAATATAGCCTGAGTTCCACTGCCGGAACAAATCGTCCTAAATGTATGTAAGGATATGATTGAAAGGGCAGACCCCGTGTATAGTTCCATAGTTAATGGAACCCCTTGTAGCTTCACCTTGAGTGACAGCTTTTTCTTGATGGGCTTGTGTGTGCCTGTCCTGAAGATAATAATAATAATAATAATAATAATAATAATAATAATAATAATAATAATAATAATAGTAAAGTTGGAAGGGACCTTGGAGGTCATCTAGTCCAACCCCCTGCTTGGGCAGGAAACCCTACACCATTTCGGACAAATGGCTTCCAGTCTCTTCTTAAAAACTTCCAGTGTTGGAGCATTTACTGCTTCTGGAGGCAAGCTGTTCCACTGATTAATTGTTCTAACTGTCAGGAAGTTTCTCCTTAGTTCTAGGTTGCTTCTCTCCTTGATTAGTTTCCACCCATTGCTTCTTGTCCTGCCTTCAGGTGCTTTGGAGAATAGCTTAATTCCCTCTTCTTTATGGCAGCCCCTGAGATATTGGAACACTGCTATCTTCGCGAAGTGCAAAAACCTACCCTATTCTGGCTGGGGACCCTGGTACCTTTCAGGCGCAGTTCTTCCTGAGGTTGTACCTTTCGTCGGCCCAGACACACAGCTGCAATATGTCCTTGTTTCCCGCACACCCGGCAGATAGCAGAGCGGAACTTGCAGTCGGTTCTCCTGTGGCGACCTCCACAGCCGATGCACTTGAGGGGAGCTGCAAAGTTTCCTTTCTGATTCCCTTCCTTCGTGGGGTGGAGACGGTCGACTTCCTCGTCCGGATCCTCCTCGGAGTTCCCTTGGACGTCCTCTTGGTGCACGGATGCAACATCTGGACTGTTCCTGATCGGCCGCATGTTTTTGACGGCGCCGCCTGCTGCTTCTTCTGCGGTGACCTCTCTTAAGGCATCTTGGAAGGACAAGTCTTCTTTGGCGAAAAGCCTCTGTTGTAGATCTCGATGCCTTAAGCCGCACACGAATCGGTCCCTCAGTCGTTCTTCGAGGTCCTTGAACTCGCAGTGCTTGGCGGCCTTCCTCAATGCGGAGATGTATTCTTTGGCCGACTCTCCGGATCGTTGATCCCTCTGCTCGAAGGTGTGGCGCCATGCGATGACGGACATTTTGGGCTGGAAGTGCTCCTTCAATAGCTTCTTTAGATCTGCGTAGCTGACAGACTCTAATGGGACAGGTGCTGCAAGGGTCTCTGCGATTTCGAAGGCGTCTTGACCGCAGACACAAAGCAGGGTGGCAGCCTTCAAGCTATCTTCCCTCACTTGGTTTACCTTGAGGTAATTTTCCACCCTGGCTACGTAGGACTCCCACCGCTCTGGATGTGAGACGTCGAATTCCGAAAGCCTTCCAACTTTTGCCATTTTCAGGAGACGGGTCTATCAGCCAGCCTACCCCCGAATGCGCACTGGATTGGCGAGTAGCTGCCGAGTCAACGCCGTTCCGCCGCTCAGGACTCACTTGGTTAAGCTTACACCTCTTCCTTTCCAGGCGATGTAAGGCATCCCACCTTCGTCGCCAGTGTTGAGTCCTTGGCGAAAAGCAGACACAAGAAGCAGTTGTAGTTCTCAGGTTTTCTTTTATTCTGTGTTCAGCTTACAGGTGAAGGCTTCAGCAACGCCCAAAAGCTCCCAGCCTCTTATATAGGCAATTCCCGGGTCAATGTGTTACTTTTCCCACGCCAGCACCCGCGCATGCGCACAGGTGCTGGCGACAGCCTGTCTGGTCCCGGGCAGCTTGCACCTGCCCGGGTCTGCCTGCAAACGCCCCGAGCCCGTTTGCAAGGCTCGGGACATAACAAAAGTGAAAGGATGAAGGGTTATGAATGAGATTGGGAAGTAATTTATGGAGAGATGTCGTTCTATCAGTGGACATACACAACTGGATTCAATCTGAATATCAGCAGCCCTTTCATAACTGCTGAGTGTACGTCACTGAATTCTCTGAAGGAGACAACAGATCCATAATAACAATGAGCTCACACCATTTTCATCCACTGCTTTTTACTTATCTTCTGTAGCAGGGGTGTCAGACTCGCTGCGTCACGTGACGTGTTGTGACGTATCACAACTTTTTTTGCATTGCTGGAGTTGGGGTGGGCACAGCCTCCACAGGATGCAACCGGCCCACGGGCCAGCAGTTTGACACCCCTGATCTATAGGATTACTCCAGAAGCTTGTAAGAAGAATATCCATATAGCTCAATGACTAATTGACTATAGTTTTATCTTGCCCATGGTTTGGAGTCAGAAAAGATATAAGCAATAAGTTAATCAGAACTATGAGCTCAAAATCTGATGGCCAAAGTAAAGTCCCTAAGAGGCTTATTTGACCAGAAGACTAGAGGTTTCTCATATTTCTCCATTTATGTCTTGTCTATTCTCAAAAGGTTTAAACTTCATTCATGCTTATACTTATACATCTTTTTACATTCTTCAGTGAAGATTAAGTTAGGCTGAGAAAATGTTCAAAATCAACAATAAAACCTTCATGGCTAAAAGATTTGGTTTTAACTTTCTTCTGTTCTAAATATTCTCATCACCACATTATACTGACTCTCTGCATGGAAAACCTTCTGTTGCATCAGTGGCATCTATGTTTAAAATTTCTCCATTTAAAACAAAAAAAGAACTACAACATTAGTTCCCACCCTTGCAAAACAGGCCCTCCCAAAATTAATGTTGTAATAATATATTAATCAGTATTCAACTAGAGGGGATAATATGTGTATAAGGTGGGGTTTTTTTTGATACAGCTTTTTTAATGCTTTGACTTGTATTTTGTGGTAGTTTTTTTTTTGTCTTCTTGGATGGCTTTTTTTTTGAGTTTTGTATTTTGTATTTTAACTTTGTTCTGAATAAAATAAAAATACATATGAAAAACAAACCAAAAACCAAAACCAAAAATAACTACTTACCTCTAAACCACACTTTGAATTTTGACTGGGCCCCTACATAGGATTTGACCCAAAGTTTCCTCCTTCTATTGTTATTGCTTCCAAAATTGTATATACTGTACAGTACATGGAGCCAGGCAAATAGCATGTGATGCTCACTCTTGGGAAACTGAAAATTCCTGATTTCCTCCTTTACCCTTTGTTCTGTAAATAAGGATTCTTGTTGATTGGTTTGTACTTACTTGGAAATGGCTCTGTTTGTGCCATCGCTGAATAAACTGCAAAGCCAACAGATGCTGCGATTCATAATCCTGGATGAAGAAAACAAAAATATTTAAGCACTCTATTCAAGGGACATTGGTAAGATGCTGGTAAGATCATAATGCTTATGTATTGATGCAACTTTAGGTCATCCTCCAGACAAAATAAACCAGTTTTCATCCAGGCTTACCTTGAGCTCATTATATATGGGTCGAGTTAATATCCTGATTATTAGCTATCTTTCAATCCCTGCAAGATTATACCCATCCCATATGCCCGGGGCAGTTTCCCAGAATATCTGCATGACGAAAGCGTTCTAAATTCCTTCTGTTCCATGAAGCATCAGCCTCAAGTCTCAAATTTCCACACATAACTGCACCTAAGTTTAAGATCTAGCATGTCCCTATATAACATGCATTAATTTCTCTCTTTTTCTTTTGTTTTGCTCAATTGAATTTTAGATTCCCTGATGCCAGTTCCCTTTTAGTGCATCTGCATCATGGAGCACCATCATCCATGAAGTATCTTTTCTTATTGTGTTGCACTCCTGTGCCCATGTTTCTGTTAATTAAGATGTGCTAAATCTAATAGAACTTTTGGAAATATATTGAGGAGGGTTGTTCTTTTTCTTTGCAGACAAGCAATTCAAGGAGAAACCAGCATCTTTGCTGCCCCTGTGTGGACTCCTCTGACAATGCTTTCCTATGTCCTTTGACAATGTTTACTACAAACAGATACAGTCAGAGGATCTATGCTGACTAAGCTGAGGTGCAAAAAACTAATATACAATAGTCAGTTATGCTGGGAAGAGGTGCCCTTTAGATGTGATTGGATAGACTTCTGCAGGTGTCCATCTGTGATATCCATCTGTGGTTTCTAGATTATTGGAAATGTACTCCCTAAATCATAATGTCTTAATTCCAGAACTAATTTTATGATTATTTATAGTGGAATAGCTGCAACTGGGTGTTCTGAAAAAGAGCAAATTTTCAATTATTTAACTCACTATTGTATATTTATTGCCATGAAGAAGGAGAAGAGAGTGATAGTGGCGAATATCTGTAGCTCAGATATAGGTTGAGGGTGGAAGTTCAGTCTCCATGTTTGTCGATTGGTTTCTGACCGTTTCATTACCAGGCTACCTAACATCTTCAGGAGAAGCGACTGTGAAAATATTTACCTCATACCAAAATAAATTGTTTGGAACTGAGGTCCTTTTTTGTTGTTTTGACATGGCTGGTAATGGAAGTCAATTGTTGCTTGATCTCAGACTTCAAACTAATAGGCACATCAAGTTCAGTGGTTCTTTCAGACTTCAAAGAAGTGGCTGGGTACTATAATCTTTACTTTACTGTCAGCAAATTCATAAGGAATTAAACACATAGACTATTTCTCCTGAAAATTCAGAACCCTGGAATGCTCTGTTCAGGGCTTCTAACCATACTCAATAATCATGTTTGTATATTTGCTTGTTTGTTTTTATTTGACATACATGCTCTAGCTTTCATTGTATCTAAGATGAGTAGTTTTTCAGTCTGAGAGATATCTTTGTGGAGCCTTCTTCTTAGTTCCTCAAAAATGAGCCATAAGCTTTACAAAGTTGTGAAGTAATCAGCCAGAGTCTGTTAAACAAAAGACTGCTTTATGCTTTTTGACAAATATGACTTCTCTTAATAAAATCATCTGCTCTTTTTCAAATCATTTTTTAAAAAATTTACCTTCTTTTGCAAAATTCAACATTCAGTAAGGAGGGAATTCTCTAATTGTAAGTCATGGCTTCTGGGGAGGTTGCAAGCGAGCTAATGGGGAGTCACAACTATGTATGTGATTTAAATTTTGACGAGGCTTGTGCACACAAAGCAGAAGTATGGTACTATCAGATCTTCCTGTTTTTGCTAGACAAATCTTGCATACAAAGTAAACTGTAAAATGTCAGCACTTGAATAGGGAGCATAAACCATCCATCACTCTCAACAGCAGTTGACTTCTCACATGGCATTTGTTCATCAAAGTGTGTGTACAGTTGTTAGTGAAGTTCAGTATTTTTATACACTATTGTTAATTTCTAGACTTCCAAGACAGAAATGTTTCTGTTACCTGGTAAAAAAAAGCTAAAGATAATCTATTTATTAATAATGCCGTTAAAACAAATTTAAGCCAAGAAAGTGTGAATATGGTATATATTTTAGTAAGTAATATATTCATATATTGCCCATTCTAGCAATAATAGAATCAATTTTATTTATGGGGCGAGGGGTGTTACACAATTTTATTTATCATTGGATTGAAGATGAAAAGTTTGAAAATCCATGCCATAAGGATTGGATTAATTCAATTCTATCTGTTCTATCTGCATTGAGGGATTATCCTGAGTGTCAGTAGGGAGTATCAAAGAAACCTATTACACTTGTACATAAGTGTTTCTTAACATGAAAAGACTCTTCCATGCATTTTGAATTCTTATGTTCACTAAAATGTTTACTTTTAGAATGCATAAACTTGGAAACCAAGAACATCCATCCATTGAGAAGCCTATTTTGCTTTGTTTTTTTTTTCCTTTCCTTTCCTTTCCTTTCCTTTCCTTTCCTTTCCTTTCTTTCTTTCTTTCTTTCTTTCTTTCTTTCTTTCTTTCTTTCTTTCTTTGCATTTTCATGAATCGTTGCATTGGACCTGCTCCCTCAATGAAAGAGAAAAACAGAGAAGCTAATTCATGCAGAGATACAGCAAAATGGATTTCATGAAAGAAGGTAATTGGTGCATTTTGTTCCAAGCACACCTAAGGAAGAAATGCTGTACTTGCTATGTCCTATATTATCTTGGAAGAATACCAAGTAATGCAGCATGCATTTATTTGCAAAGTATTGTGGCTTATATGCTGCACTATTACAAAACATCTGAGTGGTTAATAAATAACAGCATGAACACTTAAATGTGAAAACTCATCAACATGATCAAGGCTCTGATGTGCTACCTTTCAGGTGATTTGATCATGTAAATGAATTTTCCTATGAAGGCAAGATTGTTGAGTCTTTCAGCATTGTCAAGGACTCTTCCAATGATTGTGAAATCTTATTTGGGTTGTAATAAGTAGATATACTGTATAGCTAGATATTAACGAACATACCTATTTTCTTTTTTAAAAAATGGTGAAAGCAAATAAAGCTGTTATTAAGTTTATTTTAGATTTGCTCTTCATTCAAAAATGTTTCAGCCACAGGGCACTTCAGTTCTAGGCACAAATGAGATTCACGCCTTTAATATATTCCTCTCTCCCATCCACCGAAAAATATTAAACTTGGACTATCTTACATATTTCAGTCTCAGAAATATAATACCTTATATTATCTTATATCTTAATATTGTAAGCCTTAATTTTTCACCTTTACCAAGTTTGCATTATACAATTGCACAACAATGGACTTATTTTAGTTACAGGTATTCCATTATAACTATATGTATCTTAACCACAGTTTTTTTCTAATCTGGGAAAGCGTATGAAGATATCCTTCAGAGCATGGCTCATATCCACTGATTCAGAGTTAATAGCTAAAAATTAAGAAATCAAATGATAGACACTCATTAATTACCCTTAATGATTGTTGAACAGAAATGATTTTCTAAAAGTTTGAACTAATAGTATTCCCATCCTTTCTGCCTCTCATCAGCCCACTTATTCTTGTATAGAAATTGCTACAAAAATCCACCCCTTTGGCAGAATTAGCTTAATAGGCTACTGGGTGTTTTTATTAGAAGCACAAACATGTGATGCTGCATGTAACAATAAAATATTTCAAACTGAGGAGATCCTATTAAAATGATGCTGTACTTACATTTCTAGACTCGTTTATCATGGAATAGTACAGTAGCTGTTTTTAAAATCCCCTGGCAGTTAGGTATAGGCTAATTGCTTACTTACCACAATATCCTACAAGTTTTTGAGAAGGAGTTTATTGTGATGGTTGAGGAAATTATTTGCTTCTATTTATAATCAGAAAGATACCAAAATCTGACCTTGATTAGTAGTTTTTGACTTGCAGAGGATGCAGCATTGGGGATCTGCTTCTGGAAAAGAGCAAGATCTTGTATTAATGTGTCCTTCTTGGTGTTACTGAAAGTAGTAAGCGCTTCCCTTCTGCTTTTGGGGAGTTGTCATCTTCATGTGTTTACATTTAAACGTTGCTTGTGGTTAGTGGGAAGTTCTTTTTATTTTAAAAAAACGTGGAAGAAAGTTCCACCAGCCTTCAGAGATTCATTGATAAGAGGATGTTTGTTCCGTCACTTGTAGGATATCTTTACTGATTGACTGAAGCTACATTAATATTTTTTTTTGGAAGAAGTTATGAACAATGACTGCAATTAGCAGATAAGGCTGTCATTTTGTGACTAAGTTTCCAGTGACACTTATCAAGTGACACTTCTCTTCTTCAACTACAAACCCTCATTTAAAAAGTGATGAGGGATGAGATATAGGTCAAAGCCACCTTCTTTCTATAATGAAACAGCCATAACATGTGATCAATTATTAAAATATGCTTTTGGCAAAGTCCTTTTATTTGCAGATATTCTGCTCTGAGTTAAGTCACTGCATCTTGTAACTGAAGTTTTGGCTGAGTCTGATGTATAGTATACTTTAATGTCAGTTGCTAGGGAACAGTGGAAAAGAGCTATGACTCTTGCATCCTGCTTGTGAGTTTCCAGGATACAGTATGTTTTAGGGATAGACAATCAAATGCCCTTGAATATTTCCAGAATGGTTTACTACTTATGGTGCTAGCAGAAACTATTAGGAGTTCAGAAATAAATTTCCTTGCCCATTTCCGGAAACTATAGAGGAGAAAGGAAGTTCAATGTAGCAATGTGTGTTTCACTAGTGAAGTGAAAAGATACAACTGTGCACATTTTTATTTGCATGCAATTGTATTATGTAGATTGGAAATTGTCTGCTCGGACATTTCAATCATTATAAAAGTCTCTTTTGTGGGAATCCCTATCAGATAAAATGAAGTACACTTTGGGTAGTCATATATTGTGGAAAAGAAGAGAAAAGCATTACAGCATAAAATTGTATGCATGCTAATTATAAATGTAACATCAGTAGAAATATTATACATGGGTAATAATAATATAAATAAATCTAGAATGGGGAAAGCTTTGTTAATGTGATCTAGGATCTGTGCAACCTCATTTAGCTACCTAGCAACCAACTGTTGATACAGACCTATAGACTTTTGCTTTCCTACTTTTGATTCTCTGTTTCTCAATCAGGCATAGATTACAAGCCTTTTTATAAGAATTGCCTTCAAGAAAAGCAGTTCAAATATATATTGTCTTCTACAAAGTAGGATTCACAGATGGATGAGGAAGAGAACCCAACTATGCTGAAATAATTTTGCAACATTGCTCCAGAATGCTTTCTCTAGGGTCTCATTGCCTGAAATAATTGAAAAAGACAAAATCTTGAAAAAAAAAACAAAATATTCATAACATGCTAAATAGTAACATACAACCAGTGGTGGGATTCAAATATGTGAACAACCAGTTCTCTGTGTGGATACCACTTCCGGAAGTCCATTCTGGGCCTACCAGTTCTGCCAAAATGGTGTGAACCGGCTGAATCCCACCATTAAATACAACACACTTTCTCCAAGACTTTGCATATCTGATGGAGCAGCTTTTTAGATTTCTGTCATTTTATCTTTCTTGTTTTATTATCATTGTATTTAGTGTCTCTATTTAGGTTAAGGCTGTTTGCGACCCTTGGATTTGTTTTGGATTTTTTTGTTTTGTTTTTTGTTTTGGTTCAGTAGTGATGGAGGAGTTGGAAGGAACAAATATAACTTAAACCTGAAGCGTGCATGCATGCAAATAAGCAGGCAGTAAAATTTAAGTGTGGGTAATTAAGATGAAACATTTGGTGAGGTGGATATTTTTCTTGCAAACTTTTTAAGTTTTGCAAATTTTTAATAAACCCAGCTTGCATCATTACTTTCTGGGCTGCTGCTGATTCTTTGCTAATATTTCCTTCTTTTAAATCTTTCTTCCTCTTGCTACACATGGATGACCTCCTCCCAGCAAAGAGCGAATGGGCTGATATTTCATAGTTCCAAAAGCATTATGTTTCACTGCAAGAACTCATGTTGGATGCATTGGAACAATTTTAATGAATGAGGATGTTGCTTTCTTTGTTTTTGTTAATAAACAGTACAAACATTTTAATCTGATGTTGGCAGCATGAAGATCCATAAGCAGCAGCTTCTCCTTCTCCTCCTCCTCCTCCTCCTCTTCCTCCTCCTCCTCCTCCTCCTCCTCCTCCTCCTCCTTCTCCATTAAAACTTTTGAAGGGGAAAAAAAGTTAAAAATGCTTGTCAATCTTACTTCAAGAGCTTTTTTTAATTGTCTGAGAGCTCCAGGGACAGAATGATCATTTGAACATGTCACCCCATATACTTTTTTTTCCTCTTCCTCTTGTTTGTCCACTAAATCAGTAGTCAAGAAATTAGAATTGGGTGGGGGAAATCTGGAACAAGTTTTTAAAATATTAATTTTAGAATGTAAGCAGATTGTGGGAATTTTTACCAAGTTTGAACAAATAGGAAAATAAATTTAGCTTCTCTGTTCTCAAGTGTGATGCTGCCTGTTGCGTCCTTGGCGGGAAAACAGACACGAGAAGCAGCTGGAGTTCTCAGGTTCTTTTATTCAGCGTTCAGCTTACAGGAAGATGGCTTCAGCTCAGCCCAAACGCCTCACAGCCTCTTATATAGGCAACTCCCGGGTAAATGGGTTACTTTTCCCGCGCCAGCACCCGCGCATGCGCACGGCGCTGGCGACAGCCTGTCTGGTCCCGGGCAGCTTTGCACCTGCCCGGGACTGCCTGCAAACGCCCGAGCCGTTTGCAAGGCTCGGGACATAACACCCCTTTCCCCCGGGCTAAAACTACTACCAACATACAACATTTATTTTACACGACAATTTGCTCCCCAGTGTTCCCACTGTTTACTGGCTTTTGTCTTGCCAACAATGTTATGTAATCTTCTAGGTACTTAGGAGATTTCTTTGCTCTCTGTGACCTTCTTAGCTCTGGGTTACTGGCATAAGTCCCCTGACTGGAGGGAGGCGTGAGCCTGTTCTCTCTACTGTGCCCTGGTGTCTTCCAAGGACTGTGCCCCGATGCCTGGCCTGCTTGCTTGCCCACCGGGCTCGTCAGGCCAGGGCTTCTGTTGCTTTGTGACCTGGTTGTCCTACCTAGCTGTAGACCCTCAGGCCCCTTGAAGTGATAGCCACTGCTGGGCGTCTCTGTAGAACCCCCTAGGTCAGTCCAAGACCTGTCAGGAGGCTGTCTATTCCCTGAACCCCATTCTGTGTTTGGGCTCGTGTGGGTTTCTGTACTCTCCCAAAACTCAGGTGTCCCCTGATTTGTGCTAGGGGTGTTGTAGTCGGGACTTGGTTCCTCGACTAGCTCTGTGTATGTTTGACCCCCTGTAGGATTTGGGGTAAGGTCAGGCCAACCTTGGGCATTGTGTGCCAGCTCTCTTGCGGGGAATGATTTGTTGGGATGCCCCCGGGTATCCTCCGTTGCTGGAGTGCTGTGTGCTGTGTGTGGAAAGTGAGTATGCCCCCGGGGTAACTCCCTGGCTGGAGTAGGCGTGAGTGCCTGTTGTGTGGGTAAGCTCCAAGACTTCCTTTTCGGAGCAATTGCAGAACCTTGGGACGAGCCGTTTGTGGCTCCCTCAGTGGCGATGGGCAGTAG